GGTGGGGTCGGGTAGGGTTGCGGCAGGTAGGTAGGGTAGGGGTAGGGTGGGATCGGGTAGGTAGGGTAGTGGTAATCGGGGTAGGGTAGGGGTTGGGGTAAGGTATGGTAAGGTGGGGTCAGGGTGGGGTCGATGTGGTAAGGGCCTATGGGGTCGGGGGTAGGGTCGCAGTAGGGTGGGGACAGGTAGGGTGGGGTAAGTGTAGGGTCGGGTAGGTGTAGGGTCGGGGTGGGGTAGGGGTTAGGGGATGATTGGGGTCGGGGTAAGGTAGGGTGGGTAAGGGGTTAGGGGGTATGGGTACACATATTATATTATATACTTGTGTTCATGAATATTTGTGTGTATATATATGTATAGGGTTATTTTGGACATTTTAATGTTAAGCGGTGTTTTAAACCGTTTGAAGTAAACACGGTCTTACAACATTGTTTATTTTATGCGCCACTTATTAACACGGGTCTTAATAAGCACCGTTTAATAACCGGTGAACTAAACATGTCCTTAGAGTTATTTATGTTCTGATACGAACACCAAGAGCAACACAGCTTGTGGTCCATAGATAATTTACAAAGATAAAAGAGAAACAATACACTACCAAGAAAGGCTGCTCATTTGGACTAGGAATAGTAGTATTCTGTTGGACAAAGATATCATCTCTTCAACCATCAAGTCACATGTTAAGAAGGTAAAATAAATGCAAAGAACTGTCACCAAATCCTAGTGAAAGATACTTATGCTACCATTAACCGTGCAAATTCATTAGGCCTTCACTTTCTGAACCAAGTGGCGAAAATACAGAATCTGGGGATTGAGTGGCAAGATTCTCTTGGGCCAGACCTCCAACTGGAATTGTTAGTTTGTGTGGATAAAGGTGCAGTGCCTTTCTTTTTAGACGAGCAGGGAGTATTTCAATTGGGTTAGCAAAAATGAAATCACTACCCAACATCTCACGAGCAACCTGACCAATAAGAAATCACCACTAGCATAATGAGCAAACTGACCAATAAGAAATCACCACTAACTGCGATTTGAATGCTCTTAGCATCTCACAATTCCAAACCCATTGAAGAAAAGATGCCTGCCCCTCCACTCTGAACCTACATTTAGCCAAATACATTTAAAGTGTTAACCAACCAGCTATTGTACTAAAAATAAAGAAAGGTATTGATCATTATTAATCAAATAGTCCAAAGTATATTACCATTGTTTAACATTAACACAATATTGAGCTTTTTTTGGCATATGATTTCACATTTTTACTACTAATCATTACTTGACATGTCATCAGCTTTGATCAAGTTGATCATTAGCTTTCATTAATCATGGTACTCTCATTGTAAAGTTATACTCTTTATTTTGCAGTCAATCTAGTTCTCTTCTAATCTAAGACTTTATGTATTAGTTTCTTATCGCATTCAAAGTACGTACTTACTTACAAAAAGACTTTTACATTTAGTGTGACTTGTAATTTAATTTGTAAATATGTGAATTTTAATTATTAATGCTAAATTAAATATAACTAGGAAAGTCAACTTCAACTTTAGTCAAACTTAATTAGTAATCTAGAAATTTCAATGGGAAAGATACAAAGTATCAAAGCCTTGTTTTCATTTTTCAATTATCTGTGTCAAAGATACTTAAACTTTTTTATTTGACTAAATGTTAATTCAGGCAAATCCTAATCCAATACTAGATTCAAACAAACAATTTCAGAACTACACCTTCTTTCTCAAAGCTCTGCAAAATGACAGTGATAATTTGTGCCCAAAACTATGCAATTTTATTATCCATCTTCTCACACTAAACTAATAGACATCAATGTTCATCTTCCCATCTCATAACCTCTATGATTCCTGTAACAAGCGAAATTGGGGATAAATACAAATATTATGCTCCAAAAATAGTGTTACATTGAGACCTAATCTTAACAAAAACCTAGGCTTTCAAAAATTTAATTTAATATACAATAAAAAGTACCATAGAGGTTGAAATATATCATATAAGAATAGTAAACTATACCGGTGATGAAGCCCAGATTGACACTATAACCTATGAGGACATTTTCACCAAAACAATCCCAAGAGTACTTGGATAAAATAGAAGAGAAATGTATCGTGAGCAGAGACGGGAGAAGGATTTAACATGGAGCTTTCCGAATTCATGAGCAGAGACGGGAGAAGGGTTTAACCTGGAGCTTTCCGAATTCATGAGCAGAGACGATAGAAGGTTTTAACCTGGAGCTGGGCCAAATATCTTTCGATGATACGGATGATTAAGAGGGGTTTTTTAAAATAAAATTAATTCATAAGAAGTAGACCTGGTTGTCGTGGCAGATCCAAAGGTCGTCGTCGAGGCTTGCATCGTCATCGGAGCTTGCATCACAGTGTAGGTCGAAGGTGATATGCGACGATATGTTTGCTGCAGTGGAGGAGCGGTGGAGTCTGGATCTAAACAGGGATAAGTGGATAATAGAGGCTTGGATCTGTGCAGTGGAGATGAGCGATGAAGACTTGTAGCGACAATGCGATAGGGTTTGGAGAGAAGCAGCGGTTAGGATAATTAGGAAGGGACTCCTCTTAAAATTGGAAGGACGTTTATTTGCTACGACAGTTTGCGCGAAAATCAGATATCAGGGCAGTTCTTACTAAACCCGCCGTTAGAGTTAGAAAATAAAAAAAATAAAAATATCATTTAAAAACATACAACGTCAGTTTTTATTGAAACTGACGTAAAATAGTCGTGTCATACTTTTTGAAGACGGTTATTCAAGAACCGACGTTAAATGTATGACGTAGTATGTCATTTTTGTAGTAGTGATTACATAATATTGTTAAAACCAACAAATTACTACACCCAGTCTGCTCTATATTCCAAGTAACTAATCTTTCTTTCAATGCATTGTATTAATCAAAATCATTCCATATACGACATACTAAGATGACAAATAACGATTCATAGTGCACAAACAGATTGGACCACATTATTCTTCAAGGCAAATAACGATTCATACACACATTTGAGAATTACACAATGGGATGCAATTCTCTTCACGACAAATAGTGCCAAAACACCAGTACACACACTAATTTATACAAACAGAACACGCACCAGGCATTCACGAGTTTGACAAACACGAAAAACATTATATTGATCAAAACGACACTCATCACACTGTCGACCGTTACGAGCTCATACTCTTTTCCTTTCCTTTTCCCGACGACTCTCCCTGTTCTCTTTTTCTCTCTTGCATTCGCCGTTTTGCGGATTCACTGCTTCTCGGTGTTACTTGATTTTCCAGATACGACAACGGGGTAGGCGAGTGGGCTTCTTTGGCAATTTAGAACCAAAATGTTTGAACTCCTTCCTTAATTGAACCTTTTACCAAAGTTGTTCGACCGTCTTTCTCTCTAACTGCCATAAATACGAAATCTTCACATCTAGAGTTTCGTATCCAACAACCCGCTCATGCGCCTTTATGTGGAAGCTATCTTTGTCTTTTAATGCTTTTGTTTTTAATATGTCCATTTTTAATAACACACGATTAGTCATGTTCATGGGAAAAACTTCTAAGGTCATATTCTCAGAAATATGTTGACTTATGGTCATATGTACATATTTTTCCATATTTTATACTACTAGGATAATACAATGATGCTTACATATTATCTGTATATGTAAACGTGATGCATTTTTATATTTTGAGGGACTTGAACTAGATGTTTGGTGCTAACTACTATGATTAACCAACCTTCATTACTATCAAATAACAACAATTTTGATGTTTGTTAAGTAATTAGAACTTTGGAAAAGTGTATTCCTTGTGTTCTGATTTTTTGATGTTTTTTATGTAGTACTACATAGAATATTAAGTATGTGTTAATTTCTACTCAACTTGTATTGAAATATGTGTTACACTTTCCCTTTTAGTATTTTTTTGTTTAAAATTACTCAATTACCCTTATTTTTTCTACATTTTATTTTGGGAAAAGGGTCAGATAGACCCTCGAACTTACAAAAAAAAAGTCAAATAAGCCCTTATATAGGAGGCCTTGTCCGGTCATCGCCATTTGGGGCGGTTCCCGGTGGAATTTTTTGATGATTTTTTTTAAGCATCTTATTTATGAAGTCTAGTTTACTCATACCAAATTTCAGCTAAAACTTCAATCGCGAAGACATTCAAATGAATTCTTGAAGATAGCTGCGCAGTTATCTTCAAGAATTCATTTGAATGCCTTCCCGAATGAATTGTTAGCTGAAATTTGGTATGAGTAAACTAGAATTAATAAATAAGTTGCTCAAAAAATTTCATCAAAAAATTTCATCGGGAACTGTCCCAAATGGCGACGGCCGGACATAACCTCCTATGTAAGGGCTTATTTGACTTTTTTATGTAAGTTCAAGGGCTTATTTGACCCTTTTCCCTTTTATTTTCCTTTTCTTATTTTTTATCATCTCTCATGCTTCTTTCTATCATCTCTCCTACTTTTTTCTATACTATTCTATATTTTTACTACTTTTCCCTTAAATACTGTGTCAAACCTAGATATATTAACACAGAGGAGATGCACGGTCCCACCCTTCCTAACCCTATTCGTCTACTATTGGTAGTTTACACATTAAATCTTTGCATGCGAAGTGATTGCATGCAAAGTATAGGTAAACAATCATTTTGCATGTAAAATAGATTACATTGTTTGGTCAGGTGTGTAATTTATTTTTAAATTGCACGCAAAGTCGGTGCAGTGCTTCATTAAAGGCGTGCAAAGTATTTTACCACCCTCACGTAAAATACTTTACATGGTACTATGCGAAATGTTTTAAAAAAGTGTCCTACAGTTTGCATTATATAATCAAACCAAACAGTGTAAACATTTTACGTCCTTACACTTCGCATGTAAAGTAATTATTTTACCTCCTACCAAACGCCCCTAAAGTTAAAGTTTTAAAATTTTTGGGTTTGATAATTGGAAGTGGATTTAGATTGTCATAAAATAAGCAACAAAGTAACCAACTCTTTCATCCTGTCACACGCTCACATCCTCCCTCGGAATTCTTGTTAAACCCGACCCAACCACCAAATCACCATCGGAGCTCGTTGGCCCGATATCATCCAAAGATTCTTGCTTTTTGGACTCAGCTGTGCTGCTAGTCGGCGGTGGAGTTCTTTCCGCCTACTCCCGCCGGCGGAGAAATCAGTAACTTTTTTTCCCTGTTTCTATTTACAAAATCTGGTCTTGTTGGCGCGTATATGCACGGAGAAGCTTTCAATTATCCTCTTGAAACTTTTATGGTTCGCCTAATCTAAACGTCCGAACTCCATTCTGATGCTAGACACACTTGGTTTATGAAGCTTGTCCTAGCTCTAATATTGCCCAATGAATGCCCCAATTATAGGTAATAGAACAATGATTTCTTTTTGCAGATACGTTTATGCTCAACTTGCGTTCTTTACTCCCGTTCTTTAATTTGGTTATATTTGTGGGGTTGGTTTGCACTGATTTATGTTGTTCTATTAAATCATTAGTCTTATGTTATTTTTTTCTTTGATTTAAGATCCACTGCAGGGGGATTTTCCAGAGGTGATAGAAGAGTATTTGGAGCACGGGGTTATGAAATGCATTGCATTTAACCGGAGGGGAACTCTTCTTGCTGGTATAGTTCACAAGAAAGATTATTGTTTTGTTGTTTGGTTGTAGAAAAGTACTTTGTATGTAATGTAATGTATCCTATTGAACAAGTGTCAGATACAGGCTGCATCTTAATTTCTTATCTTTACTCTTTATTTTTGAGGAGTAGAGCCAGATAGGCATGTACTACCCCCGTTCTTAAATAAAAGTCAATTTTGACTGAACAAAGGTTAAGTGAATGAAAACTGTGTGGGTGAGAGTGAAAGTTATAATGAAAAGAGAAATATGATGCATTAATGATCAGGTTGGGGAAAATGAAAAGGAAAGTGTAAAGATTGTTTAGGGGTGGGGAAAATTTTGGATTTTAATGAAAAAATTTGGCAGAGAAAATGAAAGTGTGACTCAATTATGTAAATTTTCATTGCACCATCTTTTACTGCTTGGCTTATATGGTAGCTTCATGTTCTTTGTACCACAGAGGCGCAGTGTATTATTTTTTCCTGTTCCCCCGTTTTCACACATTTATTGTGTCACGACATGGGACTTCTGCTTTGTTTAAAATTTGAGCAACTCTACGCATATAATGACAAAGAAAAGGATAAATGCACTCAAGAATAGGAGCAAATACCACTGAACTAAACCGAAAGACTTCTAGTGTAATACTTTTCTGTTTATTATGTTATATATGCCGTTAATCTACCTGATGTAATTCTAAGTTCTATTTCTATTGAGTTAAAAGAAATTCTTCGTTATATAGTCCATATATAACATCCTTGTGAGTGTTTTGCTTTAATTGTATGTGATGTAAGGCTCTTGTGCCTTTTTCAGCTGGATGCTCTGACGGAAGCTGCATTATTTGGGATTTTGAGACCCGAGGAATCTCAAAAGAATTGAGGGATAAAGACTGTCTTGCTGCCATCACTAGTGTATGTTGGTCAAAGTATGGCCACCGCATACTTGTATCAGCCGCTGATAAATCATTAACACTCTGGGATGTTGTCAAAGGAGAGAAGATTATGCGCATAACCCTTCAACAAACCCCATTGCATGCTCGTTTACATCCCGGTTCCTCATTTCCAACTTCTTGCTTGGTGTGCCCTTTGTCATCAGCTCCAATGATTGTTGACTTGAACACTGGAAGCACAAAAGTACTTCCCGTTTCAACTCCTGATGCAGGAGGGAGTGGACTGGCACCACCTTCACGCAATAAATTTTCAGACGGATCTGCTCCTTTCACTCCTACAGCAGCTTGCTTCAACAAGTATGGAGATCTGGTTTATGTTGGAAATTCAAAAGGGGAAGTACTCATAATTGACCATAAAACCGTCCAAGTGCTTGGCATTATTTCCACTCAAGGAGGTGCTGTGGTGAAGAATATTGTATTCAGCAGGAATGGGCAATTTCTTTTGACAAACTCTAATGATCGTACACTCAGGATTTATGAAAATCTTCTTCCATTAAAAGATGGACTGAAAAGCGTGTATGATGTAAGTAATAACTTGAATGAGCTAGAAGGAGTAGAGAAACTTAAAGCTGTAGGGTCTAAGTTTTTAACCTTATTTAGAGAGTTTCAAGATTCCATCACCAGAGTGCACTGGAAGGCACCATGTTTTAGTGGTGATGGTGAGTGGTTGGTTGGTGGTTCTGCTAGCAAAGGAGAGCACAAGATCTACATCTGGGATAGGGTTGGACATCTTGTTAAAATACTTGAAGGGCCAAAGGAAGCCTTGATAGATTTAGCGTGGCATCCTGTCCACCCTGTTGTTGTTTCTGTTTCATTGACGGGATTGGCCTATATTTGGGCCAAGGATTACACTGAGAATTGGAGCGCATTTGCTCCAGATTTCAAAGAACTCGAGGAGAATGAAGAGTATGTAGAAAGGGAAGATGAATTTGATCTGGTGCCTGAAACAGAGAAGGTAACTTATGGAGCAGTAATCTTCTTGTTTTTGTTAATTATCACGTTTCTAATTTCTTATTGCTCCAGGCTAAAGAACCCGATGTCAATGAAGATGAAGAAGTTGACATTGTGACAGTGGAGAGAGATACAACATTCAGTGATTCTGATATATCGCAGGATGAAGTTCTCTTCTTGCCAGTCGATCCAACACCTGATCATCTTGAGCAGCAGGACAAGTGTGTCAGTAGTACTTCAAAGCTAGCGGATAGCAACCAGTCAGGATCCCCTCACTCCGAAAAGGCTGAGCGGAACGGGCAGACGGCTAACCATGAAGCCAGTCCATCTGAAGGTAATACTTACTTCCATTATTGATATTAGTAATTTTAGCTGTTATTAATTCCGTAACACGCTGATCAGTGCAGCCAGTTTTCTAATAATGTTCTGAAGATCTTCGTTTCACTTTTAAATTCAATGTCAAAGATCTATAATATATCAAAAAATCGTAAAGTTACACATCACCAAGCACTATTATGCTGGAAAAGGTTATCTCTTTTGAACTTCGATTCAAAATCATCCCTCTGAAAATGGTAAAGCTGAAAGTTCTAATGGTTCATATGCATACACTGAGTTTCTTATTTCGACATTCAGACTTTCAACTTGAGATTTACTGCCTGTTCGATAATTGCCTACTTTTTCTAGTCCCGATCTGCTACTCTACCTTTCTTTGAGTGATAGATTTGAGATGGGTGCAAAAAATCCTAAAAGGAACTTAATGTGTGTATTTGATAGCCTTTGTTTTCTTTTCCTCTCAATGGCAGAGACCATTTACCCATCAAATTCTTTTGTAGACTGTTAAAAGCTCTTTCATATACTTTTGTTATTTTTTTTTGTAATGTGTAACTGAGTTGTACTTCTCTGTTAGGTACTTGAATGATACGGAGTATTTGGAAATGCTCGTTTAAGCATGATGTGGATTGCGTTACTATGACTCGGGTTAAAGTTGGACCTTTTGAATTTCGGCCACACCACAGATTCATGACTTCTGTTATCAAACATTTAAATCCTATTGATATTGGTCCCTTAAGATGGTATTACTATCAGTATAACACATAGTCTTTAAAAATATTGTGCACAATGTAAGTCTCTTGAAAATGGATGTCATTAATCCTTCTAGAAGGCCTTGTCATAACATCAGAGAAACAGTCAGTTAAGTCTAATTTTTAATTTTGGTGGGTTTGGGCAAGTCCAACTTTTTAAATGATGTTGTAGTCCCTCAACTGTTGAAGATCGGAAACTAATGGTCCTCCATTTAGGCTTCCATCTAAATAAAAAGGACTAACTTTTTGTATTTATAAAACTTGCAAGACCACTCCCATCCTTTTTCTTAAGTCGATTGATTTACTCCGTCGTGATTGTGCCTAATTTGGTACTCCATTTGCCTCACAATAATTGTTGCTTTAGCCAAACAAATGTCCAAAAATGTTGTTTTAGAAATTCAATACACAATTATCACCACTCATCCAAAACTACCCAGCTTATGTTCTCTTACATTAAATGTTTTTGCATGATTGTATCTGTATATAAGTATTGAAAAAAAATAGGCATTCAATACAACTACATCCAAGCCTTAGTCTCAAAAGAGTTTGGGGCCGGCTAACATAAATGCTAGATTTAAATAAATACAGTCGAGTCATTTTTTTAGGATCTTTGGTATGTGTGCAATTTTGTAAAACTACAACTATTTTGGGACAGAGGTAGGATTATACTTTATCAGACTCACATGGACCCTTATTTCTAACCATCGTGGCTGCTTTGAGTTTATAATCTGTGAATCTATGATTATATCTGTTCTAAGTTGGATTGCTGCTATGTTTTTTAGCACCTGCTATGTTCTAAGATGGCATCTTGTTTTGTTTTCTCAAGCATGCTTCACCTGTATTTTGTTTTCATGCAGCAATGGATAATTCTACTGCAGAAGAAACTAGTGCAAAAGGGTTGAGAAGAAAAAGGAAGCCTTCTGAGAAGGTATTGGAGTTGCAAGCTGAAAAGGTTAAAAAACCTTCTCAGAAGAAAACATCTGGTAAACGCCAAAACTAGAAGTAATGAATAGTTCAAGAGGGAGTTAGTTTTTGAAACTTTTGTGGTGGAATCCATAAATCCATTGAGTATTTCTATTGTATCATTACCTGATCCACTCCTATGACAATTTTTAATTCCCCAATCTGTTTTGAGGTAGATTATGAATTTATGACCAGGCATTATCACCTTTTTGTCAATACCTAGTGTCTGCTATTTTATACTATTTTTTTGAAAATGAATTTCTTGATCGGTGCAGTCTTAATTATTTATCTGCTGGCAAGCAATCTGCAAACATTGGGCAGACTGACGTGTCTTCGTTCTCTTCTGCCACTCTTTTTGAGTTCATATTATTGGCAGTATAACTGATAATTCATTGTAGATCCTCAAATATAGATATTTCTTATTGAATGCATTAAATGCTCGGCCCGAATGTGTAGAGCAGTCATTAGACATTTAGAGCCCGTTTGGTAATACCTAAATCGGCTGCATTGGCTGATCCTGCTGAAATTATGAATTTGACTTAAGTGGTTGGATTGGCTGATTCTATTGATTTATGAAAAAATTATATTTTAAATATATTTTATTAATTAAATAAAGGAAAAAATTCAAAAAATTAACTAAAATGAGCCTCTACAGTAACTTCAACCAATACAGCCAGAAAAGTAACTTCAACCTTACTTTTCCTTATTATTACACAATTCAGCTTGCAAAATCAAAAGTTATGTGTTTGTGAAAAGTTGGTTGATAAGCCGAAAAACAAGGTCACCAAATGAGCTCTTAAAGTAAAATGTTTTACCCTGTATGCTGTTTATGCTGTTCACCGGACAGGTTATAGTTTTTTTTTGAAATCTAAACTACACACATACATCCTTTAATTTACATCTTAAGCGTCATGGTTCTTTCTTTCTTCTTCTTATTATTTTAATCCCATTGGTATGTTGAACTTTGCAGGATCTATCTTTACTTACCAAACATCGAAAAAGCTTTTTCATGAAAAATATATCCCTTTTTTCATCTTTAAGTGAAGAAAACATGGAGTTAGAAAAAATGTTAATGTTCATAACAAGGCGTTTGTGATCATGGTAGTGGAATCTTGACAAACACAATGTTCTCATGATACTTTTTTTTAATCCTAGACTCTCAAGAATCCAGCTCAAACCCTGGAGATAAGTAAATTTGAGTCTCGAACAATCCGCTATGTTCCCAACTATCATTTATATACCACCGTGCACAAGAAATTGCTCTTAAGTAATTGATTTCGCTTGTCCTCATGTTACTAGTACAGTTCCGGGGAAAACCGCTACTGATTGGTCAAACACTGTCAGATTCCCAACAAGAAGCCAACTCCCACGCTGCCGCTTGAGGAGAGACAAATTTCTAATTGCGCGATTACTCAAGCTAGCCCATGGGGGCAAGAGGATCGTCATTTGAGAAAACCCTCCCAAAGTCACTTCCTTGGTGACTTGAACCCAAGTTCTCCCACATGAGGATGATCTTAAGTGTGGGGTGTGATCCATTTGGACCACTTCCACTTGTCATGTGCTTATGATACTATTATTGAGTACTTTGGGGTATCAAGTACATCTACCCCATTGAAGCAAGTACAGAAGTCTATACTGAAGGAAGTGAGTCCCTGGAATTAATCTAAGTACCCGTCACATGCTCCAATGCTGAGTTTAGCTTACACGATCACTTAGCCTTGAACGTTGTGTTCTACATAGGACATTTCCAAAAATATACTATCGTATATTTTAATGATTCTGCTTTAGTATATTGAACACTTGAGTTGGAGTTTGGATACTTCATACTTGTTAAACTGACAGTCACGGGAAGTAATCAATAGTCATTGCATTTTTGTTAGACTCTATAATTTTTTGCGTCCTTTGTTGCAAGAGGAAAAGATTGTGGTTCATGTGCTTGGAAGTGTTCAGAGGTAGTCAAGTAGCAGTTTCCAGTAAAGCCAGTTTCTCGTTTTACATTCCATGCTATTGTTTATGGTGGGTGATACATTCTGCTACACAGGTATACTATTCTTTATTCCCTGTTCACTGTACTTTGCAGGATCAATGCAGCCATTCTTGTTACTCCTTTCTTACTCCTATTTCTTCATTTTTAATGCTATGAAATCAAGGGCAGCAGAATATAAAAGGCTGCTTCATTAGGGCACCACCTTACCATCACTACCATGAGTCATGACATGGGGATATTTTATTCTTTGGGTGGTGGTGGTTGTGCAGTAATAATAATTATTCGTACTATTCCATCCATTCCTAATTCAGAGAAGTGCCCAATATGACTTGCGAACAACTTAAGAAGTAATCGTTGTGTACTTGAGATAAAATTTTAAGAGAGAAAAATGTGAACCACATTATTTTCCTTGATGTGAAATGGGAAAGAATTTTGAGATGGGCAAAAAGGAAAGCATATAGATAATTTGGGAACAGTCGCAGAGGGAGTAATTTGAGCTGTAATTTGTACAAGGATCTTGTGTATTATCAACAGCGATAAATTAGGATTTACTCCACATTATTGGTTTATTTGGGGTGCTTATTTTCTTTCACTTTCATGGGTTATTTTTCTTCCTTTACAGATACAGTAGCTTCTAGTGATAGACCGTTTTTTATGCACCGTGATATTTTATTACTCCCTCCCAAAAGAATCATGCTTGAGCAAGGCGCACTTTTTTTTTTCATGAACCTCAATCAAAGTACAAGCTTTGAAAATTTATAAATGGTCACACACTCTCCAAGTCATTCGGTAAAGGATATGTTTTAGACTTTTAGCTCATCTCATACGGTAAATGTCATTTACCTCCGTTGAGGTATCATAATGTCATACCGTACTGTTAAAGAAATAGGCACTTACCTCTTAGATGTTTTAAAAATACCAAGAACCTTCCCCCTCCATTGGTTGGCCTTGACTTATTAAAGTCCAAATTACCATCATCAACAATATGTTATAATATAGAAAAATCACATGTCATGTAAAAAATATAAATTCAATATACTTAAACACTGTGATTTTCCGAAATAAGAGTTCTATTTCCCTCTTAAATATGAGTAATTACTGTTATGTTTGGAAAATATTGTCAATTATTATGGCATTAATGATGTCACATCAATGCTTGATAATGTTGAGGTATGCCAGCATTATTCCGGTGGTAGTAATTTACTTCTATTTAGGGTAAAAATATAGTATACCTAGTAACCTATTTAAGGAAACCACAATGTTTTTACTCCTATTTGGGGAAACTTCCCTAATATTGACAACTAAAACTCTTAGACACTTCTTCGTGTGTTGTATATTTAGAACATCTATTCTTGAAATTTCGAATTCTAAATGATGTTCATGGTTGAGTTTTATATTTAGATTAGACATCTAACGTTTTAGATGGTTTTTGCTATCATATCATAGACAGTAAAAACATATGGCAAATTTTTAAACTTTCCTATTTTGTTTCTTATTGTCAATATTTATATTTTTTGCATGCCCCGTTTCCTATACATTCACCATAATATGTAATGTGGATGAGGGCAATTTGGTACTTTAATTAGTCACGGGAGACCAATTGACTATAGAAGATTTCATTATATTCCTTTAAGCCTCAAGGATTTTAGTGTACAACAACAATAACATTACTCCCGGTGCCGTGGGGGGGGGGGTAGGCAGTCCCTGTACTAACCTCAAGGATTTAAGTGTGCATTTATGAAATAGTAGGGGTATAAATGATATTCTGACAAACTTCACGGGAGGTTATTGATATTCTCCGATCACTATAAATCTTATATCCAAGATCGTTTGGAGTAATTGATTAAACATTCTGATAAACTTCACGGGAGGTTATTGATTAAACCTGCTTGTCAGTTGACTTTATGATATTTTTACTTAAACATTGAAGTGCACTCTTAAAGCGAGGTTTTTATGGTGGGACCCAAAAGGTCATGAATTGGGACTATTTTCAGGACGGAAAGCTAGGTAGTATTCTTGAAGATACCAGTAATGTTGTTTATAGTGATTTTGTGTTTTTTTTTGTAACGAGAACATTTTGTTTCAATTACTTATCAGGATTTCATATTTGGTCATCGGCTTGGGCTCCTCTAATCAATTGGTGGACATGGTACACTATAACGAATTTCCATTTGGTAGTCAGTTCTTTCATGAAGAGTTGGGATGGTTTCACTTGTACTGAATTTTTTAGGTTTAATCTGAACTAGTTTGAACTGTCTTGTCTGTTTAGGTCCGGGTGATATGGTGTATTTTACTATCTCTCTGTCTCTATGGTTGATGTTTGTGCAGAGAAAAATAATATTGACCACAATTTTGTTTGAGATGGCCAGTTGAGGAAAGTTGACATAGTAGTAGTAATAGAAGCTAATAGTTAGACCGCATGCGTACAGTAGAGAGTCATGGCATGCTGCTTAGCTTCTAGTTCGGAAGACATAAATCCCAAACGCTATAATAACAAACAGAGCAGCGACAGCATTCACCAGCAACTGCGGTGGCCTCTTTTCGGGAAGGCCCTTGCTATTAATCTCCCCTCTATGATTAGCTGCTGGCAGCTTGTTCTTCTCCTTCTCAGCCTTGTCGTACTCCTCCTTTCTATCAGTATTCTCCACTTGATGCGGGTTGGCGGCGGCAGGGGATGGATGAGTAGTTGGCTTCTTTTGTTCCTCCCCCGAAGTTGTTGTTTCCGGAGGCGAACGGCCCCCGGGTTTGTTCACTGCTTCATCATCATGACATGGCATTGTAATGGTGAGGACTCCATTTTGGAACTTGGCTGTGACTTTATGGATGTCACACCCTCCCGGAACTGTGAAATCTTGCCGGAACCTTTTCGAACCCATCTCCCCACAAATCTCCAACTTGTTCCCCCCCTTTTTAACCACCTTTAGACTGTCCTTTGTAAAACCTGCGGCATGCGGACCAGGAAACCGGCCTTTAGTTAAGCACAACCCAAGTAGTAATTAATTAATGCGGGGTGTATGTATTCAAGGGAGGGCTATGGTGTTTTATTAATGCCATCACCTTACAATAACTTTTTTCACATTAGTGCTAAACAAAAAAATCTAGAAATTTAATTAACTTTCATGTATTGTTATATATGTAGATAATTTCGCTGCCTACACTAATTGATGAATTAAGTCAATGAAAATAGACAGATAGAGTAGTTTTTTTAATATCTAATTAATTTAATGGTGATGTATTTTTTGAGAAGAAAGAAAAGAAGAAAAAGAAAAAAAGAAAGAAGAAAAAACATAAAAAAAGTAACAAGAAGAATATGGGGAAAAGTGAAAATAAAAGGAAAATATAGCAAAATGTAGAGTGAGAAAAAGATCTTTAATAAAAAGAGAATGACTAAAAGGAAGAGAAATGAAATAAAAATACCGGAAGAAAGAGAAAATGACCAAAAAATCTACTTGGGAATGAAGTTGTACAAATAAAATCTCTTAATAGAGTGAGAACTAGAATACAAAATAATAAACATGGAAAAGAAATCAGAATAAAAAAAAAGAAAAAATGAATTAAAACGTATGTAGGGATAAAAATAAAGAAAAATTTTAGGGAGGACAAAAAATGAAACATGGGATTGTTTTGAGTAAATTTGCGAAATGTGAGATTATTTATATAAAGTTTCCAAAGAAGAGATAAAAACTTGGTATAGTAGGTCATCAACCGGTTAGGGTCCAATGCAAGAAGACAGGGTGCGAATGCGGTATTATTTTGAGATTACGTAAATGTGAGATTATTATGAGAATGTAACATTGGTCAAAGGTGAGATAATTTTTGTCAATTTTTTCTAAAATATAATTTTTTCATAATTCAGGCAGCCGACTCAACCATTTGAGCCAGGACTTAATATAATCAATTACGGCAGATTGAAGCGATTTTAGTGGTACCAAAGGAGCTTTGGATGTACATTTCTAGGATTACACGCACACACAAAATATATAATAATTGCTCTAAATAGGACTAAAAATTAATCAAAATGCATAGTAGAGCTATATGTTTATAATTCCCTAAATAGCACTTATTTGATCATATTAAAAGAGCAAAACTTCATCAATTAGTAGTCCACCAGTCTTGTTTTAGGAAGAAAACAATGACAGTTATATATATTTGTGCATTTTGTCAATCTTCTAGCCAGTGGCGGAACCAGCACGTGTGATTTGGAGGGGCACATTAACACATAAGTCATAATACCTTTATTCTTTTTTAATTGCAACATTTTTACTTTAACGATTAACGCTCAACAATGCACAAGTTTTATCGTCATTATATTTAATTTGCTATTACTAAAAAATCAAAATCAATTATGAAAATTTGTAATGATACAAATTTAACGATATTTTTCAAAAAACAAATATCATGCATTAATAAATGAACAAAGTGCTATTTTAACACACGGGTCACTCCTCCTATCAGGTAGACCTTTTAGGATGGAACCCCTAAATTTTCAATGTTACAACTAAAAGGAAACAGAAGGATATCATACATGACGAATATATTAATAAACAAAATAATAAAATTTGAATAAAACAAGTAAATAAAGAGTACCTTAATTTTGATTAGAATTTGGATGGAGTTTTTATCTTTTTAATTGTATTTCTCAATTTAAAATTCTTATTATATTTTGTAACTAAAAAAGAAGAAGTAATATATATTACGTATTACGATCGTATATCTTTAAGGAAACAACTTATACTTGTGAATAAAAAGAAAACAAAGTGATACGAGTCAAACTACTAAACTAGCACAAACTCTATTTGTAGTCAATTATAAATTATATGGAGAATAAAGGAGTCATAATAACCACTGTACATATTGGTCCAATGGTCCATTCGCTATGTTGTTGCACGCATGGTACTGGGTTTAATTCCCATCATGCTCCCTTTTTGGGAAATAGTGTTGAGCAATTAGCACTAGTAGGCTAGCAGCACACTTGGGCTGCCAGAGCTGTGGAAGTTCCGTAGATGGGCCAGATGTGCCAAGAAGGCACAGTTGCAGGGGCACAACGGGCTCATGATATGGGAGTAATATATATACATATTATATTTATAATAAATAAATAAAAATCTGCAGGGGCACAAGCACCTCCGGGCACTAACGTAGTTCCGCCCCTGCTTCTAGCCCTATATATCATGCATAGATTTTTGTTAGATTTGAAGATTTCTGCGAAAAGAGACACGTACCCGGCCCTTTAATTTGTAGAAATTAAGGGTTGATTTGGTTACTCTATTTTTCGGCTTATCATCCTTATTAGCCAAATTTTCCATAAAAATGTAAGTTTTTATTTCGTGTGCTGATTTGGGTAATAATAAAAATAAGTAAGGTTGACTAGCCTAGTTAGTTTATTCGCGTATAATTCGCGTATAATACACTCGAACGTACAATTCACGTATAATACTCCCGTTTATGAATTTTTCAAAATTTTTTGAAAAATTCACGTACTTTAAGGATAAAGTGTATAATACACGTACCGTACGTATTGATACGTATTTTATTACGTATAATACTCCTGTTTATGAATTTTTCAGAAAATTCTGAAAAACTCACGTGCTTTAAGAATAAAATGTATAATACACGTACTGTACGTATTGATACGTATTTTATTGAAAAACACACATTAAACGGAAGCCTAATGGAGTGATACAACTGAAACAAAATGCATGTCAAGCTAATCAATATTATTTATATTGCTTAAAAAACGTTATGCCTTATATGTTCGCTAATTGTTTAACGGTCATTACATTTAATGAATTATCTTCTTAAATTCGTAATCTGTTTCGATATTTCTATTGTACTACTACTGTATTACTTTTGTTCTCCACCCATATAACAAGACTCCAAAGCATGGGCGGATCTATGTTGGGGCAGGGGTGGGCTCCAGCCCAGCGCAGCCCAATTTATTTTTATTATTATAGGTATAGGTTTAATTTCCAGCCCACCTCAAAACTAATGTCTAGCCCATCCCAAGCCTACCAACTTTGTAATTCTATTTGATTATTAATTGAATTTTTCAGTAGATACTAAAACAGTTTTTATTTATTATTATAAATTTATAATGATTAAAGATAAACTTAAAGATTAGAAAATGATTTATTTATAATGCAATTAAAGAATAAAGAACGATGTATTTACTGTTTAG